GAAATGGCACCAAGTGAGACTAAAGAACTATGAAAAAACTTGTACACTATTTCTATAAAACTCTTCTATAAAACTCTTGTACATAAAGCTGTCGTATATATAATTAATTATATTATATACTATATTTGATCATATTTTACATATATTATACTATATATACTATATATATTATTAGATATACTATATATATTATAAAAATAAAAAAATATTTAAAAATAAAAATATTTATTAAAAAACGCAAAAAAACTTGGCGCTGCTACACCTTAAAGTAATGAAATTAACGTGTAGTTTACTGTAGCAGCGCCAAGTTTTTTTGCGTTTTTTTAATAAATATTTTTTATTTTTAAAATATTTAAAAAAATTTTTTTATAATATATATAGTATATCTAATAATATATATAGTATATATAGTATAATATATGTAAAATATGATAAAATATAGTATATAATATAATTAATTATATATACGACAACTTTATGTACAAGAGTTTTATAGAAAAGTTTTATAAAAATAGTGTACAAGTTTTTTCATAGTTCTTTAGTCCCACTTGGTGCCATTTCCTAATATCATATTTTTTTGTAAGAATGTGATTAACCGTATATAAATCGTCAGAGTGACGGGATTTACTGCTACTATAATTCCTCTATTATCATAATAAATTTTTCTTAATATTAGTTCTTTAATAATAGATACTTTAGTTTTCCAATGTGTGCTGTTAAATCAACACTCACATTCTTTTCGCGGCTATACATTGTTCTTTATCCTTTTAATCTTATACATGTCGTTGTCACATTTGTCACATTGTACGACCAACAATTTAAAATTTTTATATATTTTGGTTTTTTTTTTGGCAAAAAGGCGAATTTTAGAAAATTGTATGCGCGATAATGAAATAGTACTCACCGGTGCACCAGGATGACGGCAATAATCCTGTAGCAGGAGACAACGCTGTAAGGGCGGCGGTGGTGGCTCCTCGTGACGATGACGGTGACGATGATGGTGATGCCGATGATGGTGATGAAGAATCGAGGCGGAAGGAGAAGTGGTGGAGCCGGGCGGAACCGGCTCGTGCACCAGCAGCCGACGATGATGAAGATGACGCGATATCGTCGCCAGGACACCCAGCAGTGCGACTATCAGCACGAGCGCCGCCGAGACGATGTAGCCGCTTGCACCCACTGTAACCAAAAAGTGCCACGATTGGTCAGGATTTTCAATCGGATTCTGTTTAAAAATAGGCAAATAGAGATTGAATTGTGCGGACATTAGCAATCGACTTTGGCTAAACAAAAAAAAAAAAATATTGCATATGGACCGGCTACGAATTCACAACTGTTAGCGTTCAGGATTATCGCACGAATCATCTTTTGCAAAATCGGTCGTGCAAATAACGAGATAATCATTTGCCTTCTTTGTTCTTCTACTTGTATTAATATATTCTGACAACTAATATTTTTACTTCTTTATTCCGCCCTTAATCCCTGCAGTACGAAAAACATCAAGCAAACGTGTTATCAATCGTACTATCTCAAATCATGATTGAATGCATATATGAAACATACGTACATACGTATGGCATAGTGCGACATGTGGCAATAAATTGGTCGCTAGAGCGACGATTAGTCACTAATTAGCGTCAGATTATACGTTACATTCGAATTTGATTTCGAATGAGACGCTAAATAAAAGTAAATTTCTGTCTTTTCCTGTCAAGATTTCGAAATTCCTATAAAAAATGTTAAATTTTTAAAATATTTAAAATAATTTTAGTTTTTTACAAATAATATTTCTTCCGATTTTTCAATACTTGATTTTCAAACATACTTATTAAAGATTTTTCCAGAAAAAAATTATATGACGTTTAAAAATTGATTTCAGAAAGTAAAAACAACGTAATTTAATTATTACATAATATTTTTTATAGATGTTATGATATATAGAATCTTTAGTCGAGTTTTTAAACAATTAATCCAAGTTGGCCGCGGACATTTCGATGTGTTAAAAAATAACAAAAAATGTCATAAAAAAAGAGCAAATTCGTATCTAAAAGAGCTGATTCATCTTCATCATAATCTTATTAAAATCTTTTTCGAGCATCGGCACGAGCAGCCTGATCGCGCGAGTCGCGGTTCACCACGCGGCTCGCGTCGCAAACATCGACGTTGGCAGGTGCATCGAGATTGAGCAAGCACATCTTCCGCTGGGCTAACCTGCAAGTCTTCCTCTCCCCCGCGTCTTTCCGTCGGCCCATCTTCTTTCAGTAGCAATCGCGGAACGGCTCGTTCGACAGCCTCCATCGCTTCCTTGTTCTCCTTCTCTACCGCGTGACAGAGACATACGTGTCTGTGCGCGTGTCTCAGCCCGAGAAGATACCGCCCGGATGCGACGCGGCGAAGGACCGATGACGACAAGACAAGAGAGCAGGGACGGCGCGAGAACGTCCGCTGGATTTAACTCGTTTCATTTCCCCCCCAACCATTCGCCCGTTTTTCAGTTTTACGATTAAACGAAAAAGAATGTGCTCCTCCAATTTCGCGGATCTCTTTAATGTATTCTTGCGAATGTACAACCAGAGTATTTTTATGCCGCTTGATTCAGTAAAAGCCCAAGGTATCTTGATAATGATATCAAAGCTTTTCAAAGAAGTGCACGTAGAATGCATATTATAAAGTTTTGAAATGGAGAAATAATCTAACAAATACGAGGGTCACTTCAATATTTCAAAATTTGATACATTGAGGTTTTCTCAGCGTTATGAGAAAAATTCCGAATAAATTTTTGCTCACTCAAAATTTGTAGAAAATCTTAATTGCAAAAATTCAAACTTTAGTCTGTAAGAAGAACTTTAAAAGTTCGTTTTTCAGTTTTTTAAAGGCCTTTGATTTCTTTATGGACAGATTTGCGAATTAAATTTTATAAAAACATTTCGTATCGATACTTTGCAAACGAAGGATCATAAAGCCTGCCTACTCCACCCGGCCCTGATGAGTGAGTGAGCGAGCGAGCGAGTGAGTGAGTGAGGAGGGGGGGAGGAGAGAAAGAGAGAGAGAGAGAGAGAGATATCAACAGTGGGAGAAAGAATGAGAGAAGAGAATGGAGGCGGAGGAGGTGATACATCGAGCGAAGTGAGGTGAGCTGGCAGAGCATGCGGTGTACCAGACAAAAAACGATGAACCGCGGTGGGGGCCAGACGGGGGGCAAAAACACGCGACGAGGCCCAAAGCCCAGGCGCTGCAGGCCCCTCGTTTCAACGACTCTCATTCTCCGTCCCTCCTGTTCAGTACAACGTACGATGTTGCGTACGTGCGCGCACACGGCGTATGCACTTTCGGGCTTCGCCGGGTGCATCCACAAAATCGCGATAGAAAGGGTCAAAGGGATTCTGTCCTTTGTCCGCGATCGTGTGACTTGGGAATATGGAAGAAGGAATCGACGAGTATATTTATTATACTTGTCGCTTTTAAAACAATATTTATGCTTGACACTTGTTATTCATTATTTTGATGATTTCCCGAAACGTCTCTCTGTTCTCTTCTATCATGAATCTTTAGGAATTCATCTGTTTGTCCTATAAAGCAACGAATCGCACTGTTTTCAACAAATTAACCATTAAACCCTTAGGGCTCTATATAATATTCAAAGGAATAAAAAATTATTATAGTGTGCGATTATTTGTGCTCCAATTGTGAGTTTCAATTTGATTAGATTAATATTATCTTGGATTATTATAATGCGCACTGTGCGTAACGATTTCCTGAAGAATGAGTCAACGTATAGAGCAGCGCGATTGCGACAATCTTCAGTCTAATCTTGAGCTTTCTTCAGCTCTTCGTTATCACACTGACCGGGTTTACTGCTCTTTGTTGCACCGAATCTCGGGTGCCGCCTATTTGAAGTGTCGCGAGACAAAGAACGCATAACGACGCGCACTGACTGATTGGAGAAGACAAGATGCACATCTCGCGTACGAAGATGCGTTGAAAAATAAAGTCGGATAATAAACGCAGGTAGTAACGAGACACAGGGAGACAATACGTGCGTTGTCGTCATCAGCTAAAGTTAAAGATTGCGAGTGACTGGACAAACCGGAGAAAGCCTGGGCCTCCATTACTCACTATCATCGTTAGAAATTAGACATTTCCATGAGTTTATATTTTCGAGAGCAGTTTGTTAAATGGTGAACAAATAATTTCCGCGTAAAATATGTCCCGCGTCATAGTGATAACTTGAGGGACTGTGTAATATTATCTGAATGATAATAAATACTACTTCATAATTTAATAAAATATGATGATTAATGGGATCGAGAGCCAATGCCAGATGTTCTTTGCTGATTTTTCTTTTTCCAAAATTTATTTATTGATATGTATACGTTTCGGTCCCTGTCGGGCTATCTTCAGTACAATAACTAAAATTCCAAAATTAATAATTACAACAACAATCTCGACAATGTAATTTTATTCGTTATTACATACCTGGTTATTAAAGAATCCATTCTAACAGTCCGAATCGCATATTGTATGTGATAAGTGAAATAAATATGTATAATAAAAGATGACCAGGATTAGAAAAGAAAAGAAAGAAACTGGCCACGAGAAACAAATTGAATTAAAAATATGTAAATTGATAATTACTTATGAGACGAGTTTGCTGTTAATGCCTAGTGATGTCATGGCTGACCGTGTCGATACGGGTAAAACGTACGGTACAGGAAGGAACTAACATTATTGTGAGAGGGGGAATTTGGAAGGAGAATTAGGACGGTAATAATTTTATCAGTGGTAAATAAGCTTCGGACAGAAGGTCTGTGTCACTCTCTTCATAATTTGAGGATTAAGTTGTATGAAATTAAATTATATTGTCTAAATTATCGTGTAAGATTCGCCATTTTTAAATTCTCCAAGAGATACTTAAAAAGTCGATTATTTCTGAATGAAATCGTCAAACTGTCAACATCCTGCGAGTTACAAGTAATCAAAGCTCGTGCTACAAGAAAAATATATGCTACAACGAATATTTTTGTCCAGCGAAGGATATTGATCTCAACAATGTTTCATTAATGTTTTATTAATGTATGATTGCAAAAGTTTCGGCGTAATGGCAATGTTGAAATATTTTATAAACATATGATAAAGACAAATTGCAAACGAGAGAGAGAGGAGGGGGAGTAGGGGAGGGAGGGGAGGGGAAGGAGGGGAGTGCAAAACCGAGAAACGATGGCACGTGCAGTGCGAGCCGGCGGCGCGTCTACCCGATGAAACACGACACCAGACTAAACACTAATACGGATATCGGATTCCGAAAGACGCTTAAACAATGACTTTTTTTATTTTAAAATAGCCTGCTGGATCGTGTTTCCCGATGTGTTCTGTTGCTATGTGTGTTTATGGCAATACTCGAAGAATGCAGCGAAAGATGTGGCGTGTGTGGCAAGCCTGCGAGCTAGACTCGGTCCTATTTTTGCGAGCAACTGTAGCACGCTACTTTGGCAACTAAATCACGTGTCAAAGGGTTTAATGTCTCTTTCTCCGTTTCGAACTGCATTGAGCGAGATCTACGCAGACCGAAAGTCGGAAAACTTCGTACGCATCCAATTGAGATCTAAAGAGCGAGACGGCGACTCTCGTTTTCTCTCGATTTCAGTCGTCATTGTCCCGTCTACGCGGCTCTTCGTTAAAACATCTTTAATGATCGCTTTTTAACGGTAATCTATAGCTGTCGAGGTTGGCGCATGAAAGGTCCTTAACGGTACTATTCCCGAGTTATCTTTCCTCTGAATACGATCTCGTCAAGATATCGCCATGTTGGTGAATTTTTCGAGATTGATCTGTTTGCATCTGGTCATATCTAGTTATCACTACAATCATGTATCAACAGCGCCGATCAAATTTATATCGTTCTTTTATATTTCTTACAAGACTTACTTTAAATTATACTAAAATATTTAATATAATCCAAAGGAAGAAATTTTATTCAATATCGCTTCTATTATATTTTGCTACGCAAAGAATTAAACGATGATTGCTGGAGTAAACAGAACGATAAGAGAAAACGGTGAAATTTTAATCGATCCTCTCTCTCTCCGATAAGGAATTTTAGAAAACAATTCGCATCCACGCATTGATTAGAATAGATAACGGGTGTAGGTGGAGTATACATATGGAGGAGGTTCGGTCTA